TGACACTTGTGAAATATAATATTTCATAGGAATTATTTCAAATTTGTTAAAAAACTGATTCTGATTTTGACACTTAAACAAACATATCTCAGCCTAACCGAACGACTGCATTGTGCGAGATGCGAAGTACAAAAAGTAATCTCACTAGAGAGGGCGCACTTTATTGACTGTATAAAGTATACATAAAAGCGAGAGTATTCCAGTGGATGCGATCTACAACCTCTGAATTTGCCTAGTAACGATGAATTCGTCGAGAAAATGGTAATATTTTATGAGAAATAGTCTGTATTTCCCATTTTTTTTGTTCTTTTGCGTAAAACTAAAATTCATGCCAATATTTTTCCATGATTTATAATAATTGGAGTAATGCAAATGCATATTTTCTAAAAAAAGTCATTTTTAGTGAAATTTTGCCGGGAATGGGGCTTTAAGCATCTTAAACAACAGCACGAGATCTCTGAAGTGGTACCTTTTTGTTACACGTAAAAAGAGAAACTCTAAACTGTCTTTCGGTAAAGCTTTATAAATATATAATGTGTGTGTATGTATATGTCGGTGTGTGTGTGTGGGGGTGGGGGTGTGTTTGCGTGTGTGTGACCCAAATGCATTACACGTAATTTAACATTGCTCTGAAGCAAGTTTTATCTTACCCTCACAAATGTATCCGAATTCCAATTGACAATCTGCGTGTCGAAGTGAACGGTCACTAGCTGAAATTTGAAAACAGTCTTTTCCCTCAGAGTCGGTCCCTGGTTCATGGTCATAATCATTATAGATCGGATGATCACCTGTCAACCACACTGGATTCCCTTCCACTGCAATATCGTTTAGCCCTGTCCACACTTGAGGCAGAGATGGGAACGACGATATCATAATGTCCGTGAGATGAGTACGTTCCTCCTCTGAGTTGATCGTCAGAAGCGTCGAAGAGGAATTATCGCAGACTGACTTTGCATCGCTCCATGTTGCCGTCGCAGTGTACAACATGTAGCAATGACTGTCGTACAGAAACGTACCTAATATTATAAAATTAAAAACATGTGTTATTCTGTTTTCAATTATAAATAACTGTTTTATAATAATAACAATTTTAATAACTTGTCCTAAATGTAATATAGATTATAAAAATTAGGCTCAACATAAATTGACTGTGATAAGTATATCTAACTTTTGTACTTTTTAAATTTATTATACCAGAGAATAAGGCAAAACATATAATAGCATGGAGATTATAGAACGGGGTTCTATATACACTCATGGG